GTGTGTGTGTGTGTGTGTGTGTGTGTGTGTGTGTGGTGTGTGTGTGTGTGTGTGTGTGTGTGTGTGTGTGTGTGTGTGTGTGTGTGTGTGTGTGTGTGCGCGTGTGCGTGTGTGTGTGTGTGTGTGTATTCGGACAGTCATAGATGATCCCGCCAATGTGGTACACAGGATAGGAATTCATAACCTTTGGGGAAGACAGGGATACGGTTACATGTAAATCAGTACAAGAAATGAAAAAGATAAGGAGATGAAAGAACGGACATGACACCGGGTCCGCCAATGAAGTACGGTATGCAAACTCACTGAAGGATCGAGGTCGGCCAGAAGTTCGCTTCGAGCAAACTTCTTTCGTTCTTTTTGGTTTAAAAAATTATTTTTTTTAAAGAATGAGAATGGTGGGAGGTTATGAGTTTTTATGATTATTGCTTATGTAGCTAAAGATAATTACGTTAGTATCATTAACTTATGATTATATTGTGCGGCTCTGCTCTCCACTCTAGGTAAACTAATCTTGTATGCAAATATCTAGTATGATGGCGCCTACTGCAGCAAACACCAGTGGCCCTTAATCTATTCCCCCAACATTTGACATGAGGGAAATCCAGATAGCAGCATTCCTACTTGCTGATGAGTATCTAAATGATTAACATCATTAGCTTGCTGATAGAACCTGCTCGCAGCCTATACTTCATTTCATCAAGAGCCTACTTACACACGCACACACACACAGTCACGAAATGCCCTTGATCTATACACGTGTTCAGTCGCAGTCAAAAATTTTGTCGAGTATGTTTCGAAATCCGTTTCGAACTCGGCATAATACCACACTTTTTGTATGGGGTAAGACCGATTCGAAGCTTCAATTCATTAGAGATTTTTTGTCCGTCACTACACCTAGTTAGACAGAAACTGCCGAGTGCTTTGTGAAGCAATTATTGCTGATAAACCGTGCTAATCCTCTTTCACACTGCCAATTCGACGCAGGAACAAATACCTCAAACGCTGATATCTTTCTCTCAAACATTTTGGCTAAAAGCAGCGAAACGGCAGTGCGTGGAGTTCTGTGCAGCTGTTTGATCATATCACGAAAGCAGGTCGGATTGTGCTATTGCGAATAAATTAACGAGAACCTCATCCATATTTGATCTGGTTTGCATTGTATTAGCCTGGTTAGCAGCGCAATGTCCCTTTCTCATTTCATTTTCATGTAAAAAATATGAAGCGATGATCTAACCACAGACAAATAAATATTTGTTTTCACGAACTGGATTAACATGTTTTGTTAATGGGGGAGGGATATAGTTATCTAGGTCGCATTCCCTCTTCAAAAGTATCACCAGAATTCATATTTTCATTCTTAACAGAGCTCGCCTTTTAGTTCACGAAAAGGTAAGTTTTGGTGGTTTGTACAGCGCTCATCACTGACTGGCCGCGGTGCCCTGTTTAGGCTGTGCGCGCGCTTATTTAAGTCTTTGTAGGTATCACTTCTCTTTACGCTTTTCTTATTTTTGTTCTACTCCCCCCCCCCTCTCTCTCTCTCTTCTCTCCCTTTCTCTCTCTCTCTCTCTCTCTCTCTCTCTCTTTCTCTCTCTCTCTCTCACTCTCTCTCTCTCTCTCTCTCTCTCTCTCTCTCTTTCTCTCTCTCTCTCTCTCTCTCTCTCTCTCTCTCTCTTTCTCTCTCTCTCTCTCTCTCTCTCTCTCTCTTTCTCTCTCTCTCTCTCTCTCTCTCTCTCTCTTTCTCTCTCTCTCTCTCTCTCTCTCTCTCTCTTATAATGCAGGAGTTCCTGTGCTCACATTCTGTTCCCTTAGTACTGATAACAACATCCATATATTATTGGTATCATACTTAGCGATCTAGCGTCTTTATCATTATCATCATCAGCCTCATTCACTATCATCATTACATATATGTTTTTTTCTTTTTGACAGAGGAAAGAATAAATGGAATGAAATAAAGATAATAAATTTAGATATTATTTGCTTCCTCCAGCACTCGTTCAACATTTTAAATTTTAGAGTCCAGAGCGATAATGATAATGATGAAAATAAAATTACGACTTTAATAAGGATCAGAATAATAATGATAAGAGTAATAATGGCGACTTCTATGATGAGAATTATGATGATGTGTAAAATAATGACGACTTTAATAATGATGAGAATGATCAAAATGATTACAACGACGGTATTCATATAATAGTGAGATTAAAGACCTACATTAAAGAGTACCATCAGTCGAACCACGATAAAAAAAAGCCCCCCCCCCCAATAAAATAAAAAAAAAATCGATTTCCTTTCCGTCCAATCAACAGGCAACGTTATACATCGCCACTTTGAATTCAAGTTTCAAAATAAATCACCATGGAAGGTTATTCAAAACACCTGCGCGGCCGACAGACACCTGCAGCTTCATAATTTTGGGTCATCTGTCATGCCTTTAGATTCAACTCCAGCTTTTACTGCGCATGTGCGAGGGGGAAGTCGATGTTTCTTAATTCTTCGTTCATATCCCTAAATGATTGGGTGATGTTGCCTTATTAAGGTGATTTTGTTGTGATTGATGTAAGATTCGTGATAATTAGATGGTCTTCAGTGATTGGTTGATATTCATTCACGATTTTTCTTAATGATTAGTTGATCATGCGAGTGGTTAGGAGAGGTATATCAGTAATTAGTCGATAATTTGCAATAATTTGTTGATATTTCGTCATCACCAGGAATTAAGTGAATTCAGAATCGTAATTTTGGTTACGAAGATTAAATCATGGTTCAAATCTCACAGCTGTAAAGAAAAGGAAAAAAGGAAGAAAGAAAAGCGGGAAAGATGAATTCAGAATACAGAAAAGGAAAGAAATTTATAGAAAACGGGGAAAGACGAGAACAAAACAAAGAAAAAGTAGGAAGAAGAAAAACAGAAAAGAAAAAAAAAAAGAAAAAAGAAAAAAGCGAAAGATGACGATCAGTAAACGAAGAAAAAAGAAAGAAAACGAAAACGAAAACCAACACGGAAGTAAAACAGAAAACGAGAAAACATAATAAGACAAAGCAAAACACATAAAAAACGATGCAAGAAAATCGAAGACGACGAAGAGACACCCCCTCTCCCCCTTACACCCCTTCTCCCCATTTCCACCCCCTCCCCCTCCCTCCCCCTCCCCAATTGGTCCCCGGGTCAAACGGCGCAGCGGCCGCCACAGGTGTATCCCTTAATGACTGCCACAGGTGTTGGTCAACTGACCTCATGAGACCACTCCATCCCCATAGCGTGCCTCATACAGCGCCTCCTTCAGTGCCACACGAACGCCACAGCCAGCCATCATGAGGCGCCATCAAGCACTCCTTCTCGTGGTTCTCTTCGCTTTCCTGCTGCCTGCCCTGCGCGCCCATAAGGTAGGGAGGAAGGGGCTTTGGTTATTTTTCGACCGTTTGACTTTCTGTTTTCATTTTCTCTTTTCTGTTTTGTTTAGGTCTCTCTTTCTCTCTTTCTTCTTTTCGTTCGTTTTGTTTTGGTTTAGTTTTGTTTTTTCCTATGTTTCTTTTCTTTTGTTTTCTGTATTTCGGTGTTCTTACCTTCTCTTTTGGTCTCTTTCTTTTTCTTTTCTTGTTTTTTTTCTCTTCTTTCTCTTTTCTTTTATTTTTTCCTCCCTTTCTCTCTCTTTCATCCTTTCTCCTTCTCGTCATCTTCTTTTCCCCTTTTCTCTTTTCCTTTCCTTTTCCCCTTTCTGTATTTCTATTATTCCATTTACCTACTCTCTTTATTTTATATTTCCCTTTCTCTTTCTCTTTTTATATCTTTTCTCCCTTCCCATTCCCCTCTTTGTAAACATCATATTGCGATCAGTGTCCCTGGTCGAGTGAGAAGTGCAACATGCTTGCTTTTGTATGGATGGAATTTTTGTGTTATTGCATTTGTTGTCGGATTCTGAGATGGGTGTATACTCGTGTGCATATATATATGCATGCATATTCATATATGTATATATGTGTGCGTGCGTGCGTGTGCGTGC